TAAATTCTGGGGGCAATTGGCAATGGCAGGAATCACTGGCATATAAACACTTCGCTCTTTCTTAAAGTTACTTCTATCAACTTTAGCCACCGCCACATTTGGAATATGGGATGCTTCCCACCTAACAAGGTTTAGATTGATAAACATTTTAGAGTGTAATCATACCTCTTACTAACTGGAATCAAAGGCAAAGAATTAGTAGAAATGTTCGGCCAACACACGTAACCAAACATAGCAAGAATAGACGGTAGTCTCATGAGATTAGTCGAAGTGCCCACAAGCTTGTCTGGACACTCACGAATATAAAGAACAATACGAAATAATCACACACATAACAAGGACTATCAGCTTGGTGGGATCATCCATGAATGGGGAAACGGAGACGAGAACCTCTCCTCGACTTGCCTTTCCTAATCTATTTCAGCGACCCACCCGACTTGTATCTTCCCTCCTAACAAGAACCTCGAGTCGAATTCTCTCCGCTCACTTCTCATTCAATCCAACTAGCCACACAATTATCAAACCAACTTGGAAGTTGGTGTTTACAGCTACCAGACTCTTCATCAAATAATTTTTTTTACTTCGTTTTTTAACACACATGAAGGACAAGAAATACACAGGAATACTACAGAAAACTTCATTTTCATATATAAACATCCTCACACCTTCAGAGAAAAATGATCTCTACCACCTTAATCAACTATATCATTTTTGATGATTCAAAGATGTAATCATGTTTTCAAAGGCAAGCCCATAGGGCCCATATTAGTTTTTCTCAAGAAATACGAAATTTATTACCCAAAAACCAATATTTTCTGTTTTTTTTTATACAAGAAACCAACAGAATATATTCAAGAGAAAGGAAAGGAAAGACAGCCTAACAGCTGAAGAAGAAAGAACCCCACCTTTAGCTACGTACAAAAGGCCTTCCAATCATTAAGAATCAAAGAGAAAGGGTAGCTACATGAGAATTTGCTAAGCTATGATACCACCACGAAGCATTCCCTTTGGGCTTTCCCTTTTGGACCCAAGCCCAACTTGTAACGACCCAGGCCCACCGCTAGCAGATATTGTCCTCTTTGGGCTTTCCCTTTTAGACTTCCCCTCAAGGCTTAAAACGCGTCTGCTAAGGAAAGATTTCTACACCGGATGTTTCGTTCTCCTCCCCAACCAATGTGGGACTCTCACAATCCACCCTTCTTCGGGGCCAGTGTCCTTGCTGGCACTTGTTCCTTTCTCCAATCGATATGGGACCACTACCAAATCCACCCCCTTCAGAGCCCAGCGTCCCTAGCACACCGCCTCGTGTCTACCCCCTTCGGGGAACAACATCCTCGCTGGCACATAGTCCAGTGTCTAGCTCTAATACCATTTGTAATGACCAGGCCTACCGCGGCAAATATTGTCCTCTTTGGGCTTTCTCTTTTGAGCTTCCCTTGAAGGCTTTAAAACGTGTCTACTAGGGAAAGGTTTTCACACCCTTATAAAGGGTGTTCCATTCTCCTCTCCAACCAATGTGGGACTCTCACAATTGTACACAATCCCAAAAGCCTATGTCTTTAAACAATCTCTTAAAAAAAAAATCCTCCATGTTCTTCATTTTTTATTATCTCATTAGTTTCTAAACACTATATCTTCCTCGCGTTTCAAACTAAAACGTGGGGAGAAAGAAACGCAAATGAGTTATATAAATCATTAGCAAGATGCAAGTAATAACATTGACATGTAAAAACATACCTCACACGTCTAAGATATTCCAATCCATCTTCTGGAGGTCCTGACTCAAAATTGGGCTCTCCCTCCACCAGAAAGGCAGGTCTCTGTATACTGTTGTAATATCTATCATCTTCACTATCTTCACTTACACTAAGACCGCAAGAGGGTTTCGGGAATTCAAAATTCGTAATTTCATTATCACCTTCCATGTCCTCTATCTCAGCATCCAAGCTTTCTGAACAGCCATCCCCTGTTCAGTCGCCACAAAACGTTAGTAATCTTATGAACATATTTAAACATCATGTTCCACCCCAGAAATAATTTGTAGGGTTTTGATTTCAGTTTAAATAAACAGAGAGAACAAAGTCATACACACAAACAAGTAAGAAAGAAAAGGTTGAATTACTTTCATATCATTCAGTACCCTACTGATGAGTTTGTATCATGTACAAAAGAATGTGACTGTAATCATTTCTAGACAAAAAAGAAAAGAAATTTCATGTAATCTATATATTTGTACAAACAAGAACACCTATTACACAAACAAGTTGATTTTGATGCACATAAGGTCTTTAGTTCGATTGATTTAGGCCATTCTTCAATGCACAAAAATATTCATATGATTCCATCTTCCCCTTGCAGCAACAACACCTGTGCACAAGAGAAATTGAAACCATCAAAATGACACAATCAAAACCAAAACCCATAACTATAATTATGAAGCTCAGTTGATTCAAGCTTATAATAAATTATCTTCTGGAAATATATATAAATATTGGGGGAGTCAAAATGGGTTTATGAGATTTTTTTTGGCAATATCCAATCGAGAGCATTTGTATTCAAGGAATTAACTCAAAAACTACGTTTTTGAGTGGTAATGCAAACAACTTGGTGTTCAAATTGAAAATTTTGAACACCAAAATTCCTCAACTCAAAACAATTTGAACAATTTGGTGTTCAAATTCCTCAAAGAAACTAGAAAGTACTTTGAAAAATCAACGGAAAAAAAAAAAAAGAATGGCACAATTTGCAGGCGAACAAGTTATAAAAATAATTTATTCACAGGCATTCAGAGGCACCTTGCAAACATCAACCATATTTTAGCATCACAAGCAACCATCCGTAACCAACTTCATAAGCAAAAGGTCATTTAGCAGGCAAATAGTCAGACAATTTAAGCTTTCTAAAGCCTTGGAAACAGTCAGCCCATCAGAAGCAAACTTCATAAGCAAAACAAATAGAAATACTTACTTATAAATGAAGAGGCTTCTTCTCCCTTCTCGAAATGCTGCCTAGGACCAGAGGTGGAGCCTGTCTTCATTGGGTAATTAGAGCTTGTTAAGCTACTGTATTCCCTTGCCACAACGGGCATAAGTTCCTTGCATATAGCTTCCCACAATCTACTCTGTTCTGAAACATTTACAAACCTCAGTGCTTCCATATCCTTCCTTGAGTACACTATCTTACTTCCTTCAGCATTTTTCTTATCAAGTTCATTCACATTCCCCAGATTCCAATGCACCTCTGAGATCTTCGCTTCCCTCGCCCTCCTCCTCGATCTTCTAGCCTTTTTCCCCACTCTTTCGGGTTCATGGGATTTGCTCACATTGATCTGCATTGACCTTGTTGGACAAATTATGTCAATTTCTTCTCCATTTCCAATTTTGGAAACATGAACCGGTTCAACTAATGCAGTTTCGTCTATTACTTCAATCTTCAATGAATTTCCGAGAGATAAATGGCTTTGTCTAAGAACGCTCGTGTTCTCAGAATCATTTTGCTGACCAGCAATCTTCTCCTCATCAATAAGCATCGGTTTGCCGCAATTATCCTTTTCTAGATGAATCTCTTCTCCAGGAACCAACATGGCTTCAAGTTCTTCCAATAGTAATTTCTTTTTCATCTCCAGAATGCTCTCAGTATCAGCTTCTTTCCTCAACAATTCCTCGGTTCGCTCAAAGGCTTCTTTGCTGTCGGCTTCCATAGCAGTAGAAAACTGAACTTCTTGAACAATTTCTTTCTTCGCACAATCTTGATTTCCATCAAAACTCGGAACACTAATTGTTACAAAATCTTTCGCTTCTACTTCATCCATCGCAACTTCTTGATTCCCATCTTCCACGGCACCTATCATTTCAAAATCATGGACAGCATCCACCTTGAAAGATTCTTCTCCGAGCTCCACATCAAGAATCCGAGTCTCGTCCACCAGACTTCCCATGTTTCCTCCATTTTCAGAAGACGCAGAAATCCAATCGCAGACGACCATCTTTTCAACAGAAGTTTCTGCGTTCTCTTCTGGAGAAGCAGAACTCGAACTGTTCATCCTAACTTCACACTGCAGGCTTGGATTCGAGACGATCAAAGGAAACTTCATCTCGTCCGGATGAAAAGGAGATCGTGCGTGGCCCTCAGAGGCAGAGAATTTTCGACTGAACCCATCACCATCGCCGGAACTTAACCCATTCGCCATTGCTGGAAGAAAGCACAAGGGCTTTAGGGGCGCCACCGAGAGTAAATGAAAAAAAATGGGGTTTAACGCATATAATATATATATATATATATATATATATATATATATATATAGCGGATTTTTCAATTTTTGCTATCCATTTATTTATTTATTTATTAAACATGTCTATTTTAATTATTTTATTTTTAGCTTTTATTCATTTTATCTTTTATTTTTCAAAATATTAATGTAAAAAAAAAAAGGTATAATGCTTTAAATTATGCAAACTATATAATAAATTTTATAACCATATTTCAAGAAATTATTAATTAAAAAATATTAATGTAAAAAATTGTTATTACTGCATTTAAAAATATTATTAAAAAGTTCAGAGATAATGTATGAGACTTATAAAAGAAGTTTTTATCCATTTAATTTTATTTTTTAATTTTTATGAATATTTCTTAAATATATTACTAAGAATTAGGGTATTTTTAAAAAAAATTAAAAAGTTAAAAAAAATATTTGTATTAATTTAATGTAATAAAGAAGAAAGTAAAAGAAAAGGTTTGCACCGTCGCCTCCGCGTTTGCTTCTCTGTCATCCGCTCATTGCGTTTGCTCCGAACAAGTACCGAAAAGCCAAAAGTGAAGGAAGACCCAACGAAACCAAACCCGAACCCACCACTCCTCCTCCAATTCCACCCTGTCTTTTCCTTTATTCTTCCCCTTTTTCTTCCCGGAGCCCAGGAGAGGCTCTAACCAGAAGGTAATCCCCTTCCTCTAAACTCGCCTCTCCATCTCTTCTTCTTTTATCGCCTTGCTTTTCCCTTTTATTACCATTTCTCTCTCTTTTTTCTATTTCGCTTTTGATTTTTCTCTTACAGCCTTCTTTTATTTGTTGGGTTGTGAGTGATTTGTTCGTTTTCTTTTCCTTTCTGTTTCTGGGATTTGATTTGGTTTCTGAGGTAGCAATCTGTGTCTGGGTTTGTGTTTTTGTGTTTTGTTTCTTTGATTTGGTAATGGACGGTCGAGATCATCATCGTTTTGGTTTAGTGGTAAGGATTGTTGGAATTTCTCTTGCATTTGATTGCCTTCACTACATGCAATGTCTCATATTTCCATTTATATGCTTATCTTCTATGATCTCTTTGTAATATAAGTTCCAGAAAAGGTATTAAAGTTCTTTTAAAATTGATTGTGGGAGGGGATATTTTGCCATTTTCATGTTTCCTTTTGTCTTTTTCATGTCGTTTTTGAAGAATTTATGTTTCAATATGACATAAACCGAAAGTTGTCTATGGACTTGTCTGTTCTTTTACTATGCCTGAAAGCTGGGTTGTTCAAGAAGGATGTGATCACATTATAGGGTGGAATAGAAAGATTTGAGGATCAATGAATCCTTAAATTCTTCGTAGTATATTTCAACCATTATCTTGGGGAACGTTGCCCCTTTTTTGCCCTTTTGTCATTTTTCATGAAAAAATTAATTTTCTCCTTTGAGTCATTTCTTGCAATATTGTTGTGAGATCCCATGTTGATTGGGAAAGACAACGAAGCAAGATGTGGAAACTTCTTCCTAGCAGACGTGTTTTAAAAACCTTAGGGGAAGCCCAAAGAGGACTATATCTGCTAGCGGTGGGCTTGGATTGTTACAAATTGTATCAGAGGCAGACATCGGGCGATGTGCCAGCGAGAAGGCTGAGCCTCGAAGAGGGGTGACACGAGGCGGTGTGCCAACAAGGACATTGGCCCAAAAAGGGGGTAAATTAGGGGGTCCCACATTGATTGGAGAAGGGAACGAGTGCCAACAAGAACGCTGGCCCTAAAGGGGGTGGATTGTGAGATCCCACGTTGGTTGGGGAGGAGAACGAAACATCCTTTATAAATGTGTGAAAACCTTTCCCTCGCAGACGCTTTTTAAAAATCTTGAGGGGAAGCCCAAAAGGGAAAGTCCAAAGAGGACAATATCTATTAGCAGTGGACTTGAACTGTTACAAATTGTATTAAAGGCAAACATCAGACGATGTGCTAGCGAGAAGGCTGAGCCCCGAAGGGGGTGACACGAGGCGGTGTGCCCCAAAGGGGGGTGGATTGAGGGGTCCCACATTGATGGGAGAAGGGAACGAGTGTCATCGAGGACGCTGGGCTACGAAAGGGGGTGGATTGTGAGATCCCACATCGGTTGGGGAGGAGAACGAAGCATCCTTTATAAAGGTGTGGAAACCTCTTCCTAATAGACGCATTTTAAAAACCTTGAGAGGAAGTCCAAAAGGGAAATCCAAAGAGGACAATATCTGCTAGGCTCGGACTCTTACAATTGCAATATTCTCATCTCCTTTATATTTGAATAAAGAGAAAAAGGATCTTTCATAGATCATTGCTGCTTGTGTTTTCCTATTAATCCGTCTCCTGTCGTTTAAAGCAATAGAATAATTTTGTAAAGCGTTTGGTTACCGTGCAGGCGCATGCCCCTCCTCCTGGTTACTTCATACGTTTGAACAATACTGGACCGAAAGACGATTTATATCTAAGTAAAAGGGATAGAATGCGCAGGTGGCTTTGTTGTGCTTGTCAAGTTGAAGAACCCTACCCATCAGCGGAAAGTGAGCACCTAAAAAGCCCAGGAAGTTACGGAGATGGTGGTAATAGTCTAATCTATTTACTCTGAAGTCTGTGAGATATCAATATCCTCCATATGTTAAGCATAGTTATCAGTAGTTTGTTCTTGTTCGAGACGACTCTTGATTTAATAGCTATAGCCTCGTTTATGATTCGTCTACTATGTGATTTAAATACGTCTTATGCGTTTTAGGTCACCAAAAGGTCTCAAAAGAGCCAGCTTCTCACAAATCTGAAGCACCAAGAGCTCCACCTCCCATAGATGTTCCAGCGTTGTCTCTGGAAGAATTGAAAGAAAAGACTGACAACTTCGGGTCCAAGGCATTGATTGGTGAAGGGTCTTACGGTCGAGTTTATTATGCTAGATTAAACGATGGGAAAACTGTGGCAGTAAAGAAGCTGGATGTATCCTCCGAGCCTGACTCGAGTGTCGACTTTTTGACTCAGGTTTGTTTACAATATCAATATAAATAGATTTAGCACGGTACAACTCTATCTTATCTTGTATACATTATTCAGGTTTCTACAGTCTCAAGGTTGAAACATGAAAATTTTGTTGAGTTGCACGGATACTGCGTTGAAGGAAATCTCCGTGTTCTTGCATATGAGTTTGCAACTATGGGTTCTCTACATGACGTATTGCACGGTATGCCACGACATTAAGTTCAATCATTTGGTTGAGTTTTCATGTAGGCCAGACAATTTCACGAGTTGTTGTGTGCTCTACACAGGTAGAAAGGGAGTACAAGGGGCACAGCCTGGTCCAGTGCTCGATTGGATGCAACGTGTGAGAATCGCTGTCGATGCAGCTAGAGGATTGGAGTACTTGCATGAGAAGGTTCAACCTTCTATCATACATAGAGATGTTAGATCCAGCAATGTGCTTCTCTTTGAAGAGTATAAAACAAAGATTGCAGACTTTAACCTTTCTAACCAAGCTCCGGACATGGCTGCACGACTTCATTCTACTCGAGTTTTAGGAACTTTTGGCTATCATGCTCCAGAGTAATGTTTCCGAAATCTCATTTGTTCGTATGGTTTCTTACTCGTATAAGTAGCTATTGTTGATTGAGAAAGTATTCCTCTCTTTCCCAGGTATGCTATGACAGGACAATTGACTCAAAAGAGCGATGTCTACAGCTTTGGAGTCGTTCTACTCGAGCTTTTGACTGGGAGGAAACCCGTTGATCACACCATGCCTCGCGGGCAGCAGAGTCTTGTTACGTGGGTGAGTACACGAGCATGCTTTCCATTTCGTTTACGGTTAGTTAAATTTCACAACTCTAAAATGACTGTTCCTTATTGTTTAAGGCTACTCCAAGGCTAAGTGAAGACAAAGTTAAACAATGTGTTGATCCAAGGCTGAAGGGTGAATATCCACCTAAAGGAGTCGCCAAGGTACACATCGTTACGTCGTTTCACAAAGTTAAAATAATGAGATACGATTGTGACATCGACTTGGTTTTACGGTTATTGCAGCTGGCTGCTGTTGCAGCACTGTGTGTGCAATATGAAGCCGAGTTCAGGCCGAACATGAGCATTGTCGTCAAGGCTCTCCAGCCGCTTCTAAAGCCACCTACGCCTATGCCTGCATCGTCTCCTGAACCTTGAAGTAAATTGATATCGATTTTCTTCCTCACTGTTGATATATGTCAGCCTACATTGCAAAGTTTGGTTTCATGGTGATCATAAAGAATTCATATATTCATTATTTGTTCCAATTATTATTGTTGTTTTCCCTTGAAGATCCTCGAGTCTGAGACTATGGGAGTGGATGCTATAGGGGAAGCTACCGTATGATTATTATTTACTTTCCCCTTCGCTCTTTTGATATCAATGGATATGGGTTGGTCTTTTCAGCTTGTTGTGCTCTTGCTTTAAGTACCTATCTCGAGTTTTGACTCGCCCTTTTCTATGCCTTCCCTATAGATGAAATGCCCCTCGCCGAGTCATACGAAGTTTCGGGTTGATGATCATTATAAAAATCCAGAGTGTATTTCGTTCATTGTAGTTCACGATGCTAAATTGAGTTTGTAACCAATTTAGTTGCCAAAATGGATGGGGAAAGCTAGTATGGGTTGCAGGTGGAGGTAAAGTCTGACTCGATGACAAAACACTTGATTATTTTGATACAGACGAGGTTGGGTGATGGAATAGTACCTATTTCGAGTTTCGACTTGCCCCTTCCAATGCCTTCCCTATAGATGAACTGTCTCTCGCCGAGTCATACGAAGTTTTGGGTTGATGATCATTGTAAAAATCTAGAGAGTTTTTCGTTCATTGTAGTTGACGATACAGACATGCTCACTAAATCGAGGAACTCGATGTTAACTAGTTAGTTGCCAAAATGGATGGGGAAAGCCAAGTACGGGTTGCAAGTGGAGGTAAAGTCGTGACTCAATGACAAAAAAACTCGATTATTTTGATACAGACGAGGTTGAGTAATGGAATAGTACCTATCTCGAGTTTCGACTTGCCCTTTCCAATGCCTTCCCTATAGATGAACTGCCCCTCGTCGAGTCATGCCGAGTCATACGAAGTTTTGGGTTGATGATCATTGTAAAAATCTATAGTGTTCTACGATACAGGCATGCTTGCTAAATCGAGGAACTCGATGCAAACAATTTAGTTAGTTGCCAAAATGGATGGGGAGAGGTAAAGTCGTGACTCGATGACAAAAAAAACTCGATTATTTTGACGGAGACGAGGCCGGGTAATGGAAAACTATCAACTTGAACTGTACAATCTGAAACTAAGACTACTGTTATGACAGATTTGAGCAAAGAAGTCGTCTTAACCTGTGAGGTTTATTTCAAAGATCCTCCGAATCTCAAAATAACGCACACGGTGTTCTAAGAACTCATGGCATCTCTCAATCCATCCCCTCATGGCTTCGTAGTTTTTTACGACGAGACCGTGGGAACAAGAGTTGCTGAATCTGCTTCTCTGCTGCAACTTCAGATGTTGCCTACAATGACAGTACAGAAAATGAACAACGTTAACAGGACGTTCAAACCAGAAATTTTCTTATAGACCGAGAAGGGTCGATGGCTCACCCGGGTTTTAAAGGGAAATCGAAAAGTCCGTACTTCTGTTCCAAAACATACCCTCACATCGATGCCAAGACTATCGACTCCGAGCAGAATAGCATCCTGTAAAGCATATATCACAAACTATCATAGCTGAAGTAACTTTAGGCAAAGATATCTTCTAGTCAGATGCATCGAGGTCACGTAGGCCTATACCGAAATTAAGTAAACGATATCCTATACCGATGCATCGAGCAGGTAAAAGTAATTTGGAGGAAATAGGTTCAAGCCAGGGTGATCGCCTACTCGGGATTTTATATCATATTCTTTTGTAACCAAATGTGGTAGGTCAACAGTTGTCTTGTGAGATTGGTCAGATGCACATAAGTTGACTCGAACACTCGTGGAACAAAATCATAAATGTAATAATGACACGACCCCTTTGGGCGTAGATATTAGAAGAAACCCGACGTAGCTTTCCATCCGTTAAGGCAATAATGACGAGCGACCCCTTTGGACGTTTCTTCACCCCACTTACCTTCCATCCGAGGAAGCAACACACCTAGTCTCTTTCTTAGATGGTTCGAACTTACATACTAATGAACGAGTCGTCGTATAATCAACACGGTAATAAGAAACGAACTGTTGCAAAAGATCATAACAAACATAACGAACAAAAATTACCTCAACACGAAGACCTCTCTTTTTGCAAAAAGCTTTAAGGGCAATATTGCACCTAAAACCCTTCTCACTAAAACGCTCGACAATTTCTGCAGTAGAGTGCATAAGAACATCGGGTTCGGCACGTTGAAAATCTAGCAAACCAATTTCAGACTGCAAAAGTTCATTAAAAAATAGTATGATTTCACTATTCAACCGGATAAATAGGCAACGCGTTCATTCTCGTGATTCTAATATTACTGATACTACTGCAGACCGAATAGATATTCATCAATGAGACCCAAAAGGGAAATCGTGATATACATACCTGAACTCCGTACACCGAGAAGAGCTCAATTCTCATTATCTCCAGCCTGTAGAGGGTGGATCTTCGGCTGCTTCCATCGCTTTCGGACTCGAAGCTCAAGGTTTCACCTTCTAAACCGGAGGTTAAAGATGAGATGATTAGGAAAAACTTCATCAACAATAAGATAATAATGTTTAGAAGCTAAAACGTGGAATTATATACTTCAACACGAAGTAATGAATCAGCAACTGTTCTATTCATTCCAAAGAAAAAAAATAAGATCCCACGTCGGTTGGACTGGAAATGTACTCATGAGGCATTTAGACCGGAAATATAAGCATAGCTATACATCCTACTAGTGCAGTCGTGTTATGAGATTTAAGCTTTAGATAAAAAATGACATCCCATAGTAAAAAACATGTAAGTGGATCTTCATCATTAAATATAACCCAAATGGTAGTACAGAAAGCGTGAGATCATACATCGGTTGGAGAGGGGAACGAAACATTCTTTATAAGGGTATAAAAATCTCTCCCTAACAAGGACGGTGGGCCCCCAAGGGGGTGAGATCTCACTTCGGTTGGAGAAGGGAACGAAGCATTCTTTATAAGGATGTGAAAATCTCCCTCTAGCAGGCGCGTTTTAAAATCATGAGGCTGACGATGATAAGTAACAGGCCAAAGCGAACAATATTTGTTAGTGGTGGGCTTGGGCAATTGCAAATGGTATAAGAGTCAAACACCGGGCGGTGTGCCAGTGAGGACGCTAGCCCCCAAGGGGGGGTGGATTGTGAGATCCCACATCAGTTGGAGAGGGAACGAAACATTGTTTATAAGAGTGTTGAAATCTCTCCCTAGCGAGGACGTTGGCCCCTAAGGGGGTGAGATCCCACGTCGGTTGGAAAGGGGAACAAAACATTCTCTATAAAGGTGTGAAAATCTCTCCCTGGCAGACGCGTTTTAAACCCATGAGGCTGACAACAATACGTAACGGGCCAAAACAGACAATATTTACTAGCGGTGGGCTTGGGCTATTGCAAATGATATCAGAGCCAAACACCGGATGGTGTGCCAGTGAAGATGCTGGCCCCCAGGAAGGGTGGACTGTGAGATCCCACATTGGTTAGAGAGGGGAACGAAACATTATTTATAAGAGTGTGGAAATCCATTAATTTCTTCGACTATTCAACGGAATGGCCAGGAAATAGCACCAGATTCATTATTCAAATTCCCAGTGCCTTTTCATCCTACGTTACCTTTCCATTGTGTATTGTAGCCTTCACTATCTTCAAAGTAAAAAAGTCTTCTTATATAAGATTCTTCATCAGCATAGACAGGTCTGAGACATCCCAACATGGAAACTCCATTCGAAGGATGCTTCATCTCTCTCTCATATTTCATATAGATAGCCTATACGTAACAGACTTGATTAACGTTTCGTAATTCAAATGAACGTATTATAAACAATAGTTGCTAGTAGCAGGATGGGACGTTAAGAAGAGATTTAAAAGTTAATAACGAAGCTGTAACGGCCCAAGCCCACCGCTAGCAGATATTGTCCTCTTTGAGCTTTCCCTTCAAGATGTTTAAATGGTACCAGAGCCAGACACCGAGCGATGTGTAAGCGACGAGGCTGAGCCCCGAAAGGGGTGGACACAAGGCGGTGTGCCAACAAGGACGCTGGGTCCCAAAGAGAGTGGATTGGGGGTTCCACATTGATTGGAGAAGGGAACGAGTGCCAGCGAGGAAGTTGAGCCCCCAAGAGTGGTGAGTCGTGAGATCCCACGTCGGTTGGGGAGGAGAACGAAACATTCTTTACAAGGGTAAACCTCTCTCTAGCAGACCATTTTAAAAACCTTGAGTGGAAGCCCGAAAGGGAAAGCTCAAAGAAGATAATATCTGCTAACAGTGGGCTTAGACTGTTACAAATGGTATCAAAGCCAGTCAGGCGGTGTGCCAGCAAAGACGCTAAGCCCCGAAGGGAGTGGACACCAAGCAGTGTGCTAGCAAGGACGCTGAGCCCCAAAGGGGGGTGGACACCAAGCGGTGTGCCAACAATGACGCTGAGCCCCGAAGGGAGGTGGACACCAGGCGGTGTGCCAACAATGACACTAAGCCCCGAAGGGAGGTGGACACCGAACAGTGTGCCAACGAGGACGCTGGGCCCTAAAGTGGATGGATTGTGAGATTCCACATCAGTTGGGGAGGAAAACAAAGCATTTTTTATAAGAGTGTGGAAACCTCTCCCTAGCAGACACGTTTTAAAACCTTGAGAGGAAGCTCAAAAGGGAAATCCTAGAGAGAACAATATCTACTAGCGGTGGACTTGGACCGTTACAGAAGCTATTTACAACAATTTAGTTATATCGTACAAGCTATAACAATAACAAGGAGCTGGTGGAAATCACCTTATTCATACACTTGGCAAAATATAGTGGATGAACCAAGCTAGCCACATCAGGAACTCCCCAATCAACAGGGAATTCAGCCAAATCAGTTTCCACAGCCTACAAGGCCAATAGAAATGCAGCTAAAAATAAAACCAGAAACTTTGAACTCAACCAACACAACTAGCTATTTACCTCAATATAGTCATAATCGAAAGGAACGATATCACCATTTCCGCTATCTCCCGCTTTATAATCTCGAATTATCCTCCTACTTTCATACATTTTCACGTCCATTCCAATCAAAACGTTCTGCAAGTGAAGAACTCGTATAAATACCATAATCACTCGACCGTATTTGGCTAAGATCTTTACCTCGAGATTACGAAAAAGCAATGCATAATAATGGAACATATAGATCCTTACCACAGGATTTGGTGCAGCACGATCTTCTAACATGTTCACATCGTCGAAAACTTCGAAAAACAAATCTGAACAGAACAAAACATCGCCAAGTTCAATTCAGCAACGTAGCTAGGATATGAACATCCACACAAAAACAACAAACCATTGACAAGAGAAAGTCGATAAAAACCTCCATAATCGTCAAGAACGTATTGAAACTCGTCCCATGATACGTGTTCATGTGGTTCATTGTGAACAGTTCCAGGAAATAGTACCAAAGCGTTGCTATTTACCTAATAGAGAGGAAAATGAATTTTCGTTAACCGAAAAAAACATAATCGAGGAAACACGAGGTCTATGAACCCAACCTCCACAGTCGTCCGGGCTAATTCTGCAGCAGTGAGTTCAGTATTTCGTGCTCTTTTACGAACTTTTAGATCTTCGAGAGGATGATAGCCTTTGTTAGTCAAAGAACTTGATGAATCTGGAACTGAATCAGGGTAATCAGCAGCAACTGAAACTTTTGACAAGCAATGATCACGGCCCTTAGACAACCAATGTAAGTCTGTTGATCCAAATATTGGATTTCTGCCACTAAAAATTACCAAAGAACCAAGGAGATCTATCATAAACGAGCTACAATACAAACAGATTGACAAGGAGCTACAATAGATCATAACCTTCTAATATCGTAAACTCACCGAACATCGAAAGAAGATCTGTTCCAACTGCTCGTGAATGCATGCGACGTCGAGCAACAAGCCCCTTCTGTATGATATTAGAAAAGGTGAGGAACAAAACTCAAAACAAAAGCAACGAAATAAAGGATTCGAATTGAGTATTCTAGTGCCCAAGCCCACCGCTAGGTTTTTAAAACGTGTCAGCTAGGGAGAGGTTTCCACACCCTTGTAAAGAATGTTTTGTTCTTTCTCCTCATCCAATGTGGGATCTCACAATCTATCTCCCTTTGGTGCCAAGCATCCTTGTTGGCACTCATTTCTCTCTCCACTCGATGTGGGATCTCACAATCCACCCCCTTCGAAGCCCAGCGTCCTTCGCTAGCACACCGCCCGGTGTCCACCCACTTTAGGGCTCAACGTTCTTACTGGCACACCACTTGATGTCCACTCCCCTTCGTCCTCGTTGGCACACTGCCCAGAACCTGGCTCTGATACCAACTGTAACGGTCAAAGCCCACCGCTAGCAAATATTGTCCTCTTTAGGCTTTCCCTTTCAAGCTTCCCCTCAAGGTTTTTAAAAAACGTCTGCTAAGGAGAGGTTTCCACACCTTTATAAAGAATGTTTCATTCTCCTCCCCAATTGATGTGGGATCTCACAATCCATCTGGTAGGGAGAGATTTTCACACCCTTACAAATAATGCTTCGTTCTCCTCCCCAATTGATCTTCAGGGCACAGTATCCTCGCTCGCACTTGTTCCTTTCTCCAATCAATGTAGAATCTCACAATTCACCCCTTTTGAGACCCAGCGTCCTCGCTGGCACACCGCTCGATGTCCACCCTCTTTGGGGTTCAACGTCAGCACTGGCGCACCGCCTGGTGTCCACCCCCCTTCGTGGCTCAGCATCCTCACTGACACACTACCTAGTAACTAACTCTAATACCATTTGTAACAACCCAAGCCCACCGCTAGTAGATAGGGTCTTCTTTAGACTTTCCCTTTCAAGCTTCCCCTCAAGGTTTGTAAAACGCGTTTGCTAGGGAGGGGTATCCACACCCTTATAAACAATGTTTCATTCTCCTCCCCACTCCCCAACCAATGCAGGATCTCACATCTAGTTTTTGTTTAGATTGTGAGGCCTCGTACACAAGACTAAGAGTTCTATTTCTTTTGAATTTTAGTCTCGGTACAATCTCTAGTGAATATAGCAAAACGCTCGAACCAAAAACGAAAAGAAAGCTAACACATAGGAAACCCATTGAAAAAGGGCCTAAAAAATGGCTTGTTAACAAAGGGAAAATACCCAAGTAGACCAAGCAAGAGCTTCTAAAGATCAGAAAGCCTAAACCTTTTGCATAACAATGACAAACAGATGAAACCCCACTTCAAATAAAACCAAACCCATCACTAAATCCGCAAGTGGGTATTCAAAAAACTACTTGAAAATCAACGATCGATAGCCCTCTCTTAGAACAAATGTCCAGACAATCAATTCATAAAGAAAAAACGAAACGGGCATGTAACAAATTCACAGTTCATCACAATCAATGATACCAAATGCAAAGAACACAAAGAGAGGCGAATGATAGCGGTTACCGAAGGCAAGTGAAGAAGCTACAGCGATTGCCATGAGAGACAGAGATCAAAGTCGACGCGAGCTGAGATGGGTATTAGTCTCTACGTATAGTTCGAAGTCCGAAATGGCCATCGAGATTCGCAGAAGATCTTCAAACGTGTTCAGAAATTTCTGATTTTTTTACTCAGAGATCTCAGCTGAAAAAGCATAGAAAATAACAAATGGGTCTATCAATTTTGTTTTTTTACACCTATAAAACACTGGAGTGAAGAAGTGAAGAGACAAGACACAAAAGACAAGACACCCCATGTTTTTTATTCCAACAAGGAACACAATTTTGTGAGAAGACAAAAGTTTTGTGTGAAATATTGAAATATGAATGTGTGGGCAATAAAAGTGAAAAAGACATAAGATGGATACCACATGTTTGTATCTTCAACATAGTACACAAAGGTTATCCCAAGACATACAAGCCAAAAGTGTTCTTTTCTTTTGAGTTCACAAAGAGGATTTAGAGAGGTTTAATGTCATCAAAAATTTAGTTATATTTATGTAATTAACATCCATTTTTGTAAATCAAATAAATTGTTCTAATTTTGATCAATTTGACGTTCCAAACGACCCTTATGTTAGCTTTTTCGATTGAACGAGCAAATTTGACATGGTGACGAGTTGTAAAAAATTACCTGATGAACAAAAAATTGTAGGAGAAAAAAAGAACTTTTGAAACATTTTTTTTTATTGAATAAATGGGACAAGTTTTAAAATGCGTCTATGAATGTTTTGTTGTAAGATCTCACAACGTGCTTTCATTGATTCGTGTGGATATTTCTTGTGTAATGATCTTAAATTTTAGCCTTATGAATTTTTAAGTTTATAACTATCTTTAAGAGCTTTTTTTTTTATCCCACATCAATTGGGAGGAGAACAATATAAGGGTGTAAAAATTTCTCCCTAACAAGTATTTTAAAAACTTTGAAGAAAAGCTCAGAGAAACAATATCTGCTAGCTGTGGGTTTGAGTCGTTACCGACTAGTGATACCCATGGAAGAGATCCAAGCCTTTCACTAAGTCTGATATCATGTGTATACTAAAACAACTGAAATATGAATGAGACAAACTTTGACCATTGTATCTTATTCTTTACTTTTGGTATTCAATCAAAATATACAATCACAAGAACGTGCAAGGAAAATGATGAGAAAAAGATTTTGACCTCATTGAATACACACAAAATTCAAAGCAGAACTCAACCCACAAAAAAAATGACTAACACGAGATGGTAGAAAACAATGAAGGCGAGGCCTTCTTTCAGGGGAAAACATAGCTTCAAATAAGAAAATCTTGGGTTGGATGCAGACCTTCCAATATTTAATGCTGTGTTCTATCTAATCTTACAATCTGATAAACAAGCAGAGCCTCTTCCACAACTCTAATAACATGTCTGATATCATCGGTAGCCGCCGTACGGTGGCTGTTGAGGGGCGTAGCCACCAGCACCCATCATTGGGTTGTATGCACCAGGCATGTTCGCTCGAGGCTGCTGCATCTGGATTCCGTGTTGTGCCATACCCATATTCATCCCCATGCCACCCATGGGTTGATTCATGCCTCCATATCCTCCTCTCATACCCATGCCCATGCCAGGGTTGGGGTTCATACCCATTCCCATTCCCGGACCCGACATTGCGTTTGGAGGTGGCCTTAGTGCACTCGCACCGGCTCGGCCAATCCCAGAACCAGATCCCATAGCTTTACCCATGTTAATGGTAGATATCGCTGGAGCTGTACTAGGCTTCTCCATCCTCTTCTCTTTCCTATTGAGGGCTTCAAAATCAACACCAATATCCGCCATTGGGTTTGTTTTAGCTGCACATGGAGAATTTATGATTCAAAAAGATGAACAAGGAAGAACTACGATGTATTTTTTCAAAACAATCCAGAAAGTCGAAGTGATGTAATGAAATCGAGGGGGAAACTCACATCCAGATATGTTTAAATTGACAAGCCCTCGGTTTAATGTGTCAGTCCATACTGTAGACTTGGTCTCGAACTTGTTCTTTGAAGGTTGAGATGCATTTGAAAGCGATCCAGATGGAGGAATTTGCTGGGAAGCCATGGATGTATGGTTTCCTGCTTGAAAACTACCCATAACATCAGGGTTAGATACGTTAACAGGAAAATTAGGGGCTTGGTAAGACACTTGAGAAGCTACTGGAGCTACAGAGGCGTGTGGCGGATTGAAGTTCCCACTAGGAAGCTGAGCAGGCGGTTGAGTAGTTTGAAGTGCGACATGAGAACTCGTGGGAGCTACCGAACCATCCTGAGAATATCCAAAATTGTTGGGATGTGTACTAGGTCCAGCATTTGGAGGAACCATATATGAATTGACATGTGTCGGTGCACTTCCCGGAACCATGAACATCCCGTTGTTAAACTCTCTCCCGGGTTCTGTTGGATTTTGAAAATTTACGGGAGCTACGTTTCCATGTTGCTGATAAGTCCCCAAGTTATTAGAATTTGGGTGTGCAGGCAAGCCAGATACAGCTTGTTGGCTGTTTGATACTGTGAATGCAGGCTGTGAAACAACAGCAGGTAAAGGTTCAGGAGGAGGAAGGAGATCAGCTAGTACACCAATATTTTGATGTTGCAGAGACTCTTCACGAGGCTGCGGAAAATTTGGTTGGGGTTGAACGGGGATGTTCGGTGTGGAATAAGTTGCTACAGAAAATGATTCCCCATGCTGGACATGTGCTTGATCTTGGACATCAGAGGAAGAAATGGCTTTAAAAGGCGAGTCACCGAATGCGTCTTCGAAAGTCTGTGTGAGCATAATAAGTTGAAAAATATCAATCTCTGCCAGTAAAAAGTAATTGATCTACAATCCAACTTTACAAGGTACGAATCGGCCCAAATTAAATTTAGATCCGAGAAATCTGAAATTTCTTTACTTATTATGCCATAAATATGTAGCCTCTTGTAATAGTCCAAGTCCACCGCTAGCAGATATTGTCCTCTTTGAGCTTTCCCATCTGGATTTTTCTTAAAGGTTTTAGAACGTGTTTGCTAGGAAGAGGTTTCCACCCCCTCATAAGGAATGTTTCGTTTCCCTCTCCAACCGATGTGGGATCTTACAATCCACCCCACTTAGGGGCCTAACGTCCTCGCTCGCTGGCACGCCGCCCTATGTCTGGCTCTAATACCATTTGTAATAGTCCAAGCTCACTACTAGCAAATATTGTCCTCTTTGGGTTTTCCCTTCCGGTTTCCCCTCAAGGTTTTAAAACACGTTTGCTAGGAAGAGGTTTCCACACCCTTATAAGGAATGCTTTGTTCCCCTCTCCAACCGATGTGGGGTCTCACAATCCATCCCCCTTGGAGGCCCGACGTCCTCGTTGGCACACTACCCGGTGTTTGACTCTAATACTATTTGTAACAACCCAAGTCCACCGTTAGCAGATATTGTCCTCTCTGGACTTTTCCTTTCAGGCTTCCCCTCAAGGTTTTAAAACGCGTCTACTAGGGAGAGGTTTCCACAGCCTTATAAGGAATACTTCGTTCCCCTCCACAATCGACGTGGGGTCTCACAAAGCTATATCTACCAAAACCAGGTATAACATGCACTCAGCAATGCCACGAATAAAAGTGATGAGAAAACAGCAAATCATGAGTTCATGAGAGCGAGAAAATTGCATACATAAGCATGACATAAGCAAAACAGAGATCAGTTCAAAATCATTTCAATGCCTCAATATTACCTGATTTTGAGCATGGTATCCCACAGCAGAGCTTGTCTGAACATGACCCTCATAGTCTGCAGTTGATGTTACTGGCCCAACAGGCACTAAGGCCAAGGAGTCTAATAAATTTGTCTCTAAATTGCTTGTGGCAGGTGGAGCAGCTGAAATAAGAAATGGAAAGAGATATTAAGTGCAAAGTACAAATAAATATCAGAAGAAATTACTAACTGAAGTACAATTTGTAACAGCCCAAGCCCACCGTTAGTAGATATTGTCCGTTTTGGTCTATTAAGTATCACCGTCAGCCTCACGGTTTTAAAACACGTCTATTAGGGAGAAGTTTCAACATCTTTATAAGAAATGCTTCGTTTCCCTATCCAACCAATGTGGGATCACAATCCATCCATCCATCCACCCACTAGGGGGCCAACGTTCTTGATGGCACACTGTCTAGTGCCTGGCTCTGATAGCATTTGTAACAGCCCAAGCCCCAAAGAGGACAAATGGCATCAGCCCAATACCTCCTAGTGGTGGGCTTGGGCTGTTACAAATGGTATAAGAGCCAGTGACCGAACGATGCGAGGCATTGATCGAAGTAGGGCTAGGAAGCTCATGGATGGAAGTGCCCATAGCAATCTAACCCTTTTTACTAAGCAACGATGAGGTGCGGCATAGAAAATCAGGTGCTTCCCATACCTGGAACTGAACCACGAGGGTCGAATTCATCAGAACCATCAAGTCCCTGGGTAGGTGGAGATGCAGCAGTTCCCTGAGTCGTTAGCTGGCTTTGAGTACTGGATGTGGGTGGGGGAAATGCTCTCGGAGCAGCAGTCGGTGGAGCTTCAACATCTCTGCTTATAGATACAATATCCCAATTGAATGAACGGGCGAACAAGACGAAAGAAAAAAAGTAACAGTCATATCTTCGGAACAAAATTAGCACCTTTGACTTTGCACATTGCTTTCAGATTCAGTCACAGCTTCTTCGTAACTGGGAGGAGCACCAATATTCTGTTCCGAAAATTTACGTTCAAGCGGCCTATGAAAAATTCAAAATTAACAGTGCCACTAAACCACTTCCTCATCGGATAAATATAAAACGAACAATGAAATTAAATGATTAAAAACTAACCTTTCATCCCGAGATGGCTCGTTCGCTCTAGTATCGTTGTTGCTGCAAGAAACACAAGAGGCAAAGAAATGAGAGCTAAGAAAATAAGCGCTTTCCAGGAAAATTATACATATATCAAACTTCATACTGTCGAAAAACATATAATGGACTTTACTAATATAACATCAGCATATTATATCTGCAGCAGGTGCATACCGAGAAGAAACTTGACCATCGTCATATGTACGTTCTCCATTTCTGTCAGAGCTCCGGCTCCTTGAACCATACTGATAGTCATCAACGCTTCGGCTTCTTCCTCGATAATCATCATCCCTATAACCATCTCTATTATAGCGGTCTTCATAATCACGACCATATGAATCCTCATTTCCACCGGAACGTTCATCTCTAAAACCATATTCTCTTTCCCTCCCATAAGAATCAACATTTCGGTCTCCATCACGGCTTCCATATCTTCCTTCATAGCGGTCGTCATATGCTCCTGCACTTGGTCTATACATACTGCCCATAGATGCTGCACTGTGAAACCTATGTAGCATCATGAAAGTCATAAGAACAGTAGTTTTTAAAACTATTCCGTGAAAGCTTAAAGAACGTTTCTATGCAACATAATTGTGAGTAAATAAAACGAAATAACCTGAGTGTCTGAAATGATGAATTGGCACTAATAAATATGATTACTGGCGCAATAAGTAGGGACAAACTAAGAAAAATGAAAAGAATGAAGAATCGACAAATATATAATAAATTAACCGACGTCGAGAGCAGACTCACTTGTCCTTATTAGCAGCAGCTTTCTGTCTGACCTCAACAATCCTCTCTTTATCATTTACAAGGGCAACAAGATTTTGCGATTTCTTTCTAACATTGTTACCCTGATCCCTCCCGCTCGAGTCGATGTATTGAAAATTAGATAAGGTCTGTCGTACAAAAGATGCCCGATGAATCAAGAGAGAGTAATCACATTTCAGGAAGATCAGAGAGCTGAGTAGTTATAGCTGTCAAAGTGAATTGAGAAAGAGAAACGTACCGATATCTGATAGACATGTTCTCTGATGTCATCTATGACACGCTCCGACCCGTGACCCACCAAGTACTCCAAAACGGTCAAACCCTGAGAAAGATACAAGTTTGGGTAGGAATATAAGGACTAGGAATGCATAAAGAGCTTCCGTATCAAAATGGAAAGGTTAAGTTCATTAAATCGTCGAAATACAATAATCCTAAAAGTGAAGACAAAAAGAGAAAACGGCTAACCTTGTAAACATGCCTCCAATTCTTGCCAGTATCGTTAATCCGCTTCCAGATTACTCCCATAATCATTTGATATTCATGACTGCATGGACATTTGGAATAAGTTCTCCCCTGGTGTAGAATATTCAATCTAAAAGCATCTACAAAAGCAAGCCTATGCTTACTAATTTCGAGTTGCCTGTGCTATATCTGCAAGAAGTGATCCATGAGGACCCCAAGGCTCGTTGCTAGTGGCATCCAAAACCTGAAAAAAGAAGGTAAAAACAGCGTTCCATATAAGTTCTCGTGCATAAAACCCTTACTACAAAGTTTTCTTATAGAACTTCGAGAAGTCTAAAATCACAATATCAGTCTTAACTTTTTTTTGTTAATTATGTCATGTAGCATCCATAGCTAAGAAATTTCTTCCCTCCCCTAAAAATTGTGCATCAATTACGTTTCTTGTAACAGCCTAAGCCCACCGCTAACATATATTGTCTTCTTTAGGCTTTCTCTTCTGTGCTTCCCCTCAAAGTTTTAAAACGTGTATGCTAGGGAGAGGTTTTTACACCCTTATAAGGAATGCTTCGTTCCCCTCTCCACCCAACGTGGGATCTCACATTTCTATTTCATCTAAAGGCTATCATCGTGGACATGAGTGATAAATGAACATAAACACTTTCTTTCCTTAAGAAAAACAAATAAATACTTGAGTCTAGACAAGATCACGTCGGGGGAAGAAAAGAAGAGAAACAGAGGACTTGAAAGGCCTACCTTCTGCTCTATTTTCGGAATTTTGAGCACGGTCTTATTGACCTCTCGTTTTCTGCAATAAATGACAGAGGGATCCTATTAGGAAAACCTAATGCATAAAGTTAAATTTAGATGACCAATGAATAAAAATGAATTTTGACAGGGCAAGAATATAGCTTACAAGTCCCTAACAGTTTGATCGAAGGCCTTCTTCATCCTAGCTGGTAATTTTCAATTACAGAAACAAGCAGAAGCACCCCTAGTTCCGCTGTTGAATTAAACGGAAGTTCTTGTTAGTCTATGCAGAAATTACACACATACAAAACGATCCCTATATTAAATATATAATATGTAAAAGTTCAAACTCGAGAAGAAATATAGCAATAAGAATAAGATGATAATTGGGCTATACATCAATGGTTGTGATCTGATTAGGTGAAAAAGTGGATGAAATTGGCTACATTCCATGCTGCAAATGAATGTCGTATGGAAGATTACAATGGATGACAGCTTTCGGAAATGTGCGTTTTCTCACAATAGCCGTTACCCATCTAACCTCGTGACAATCATATTAGCTCACAAGAATCCAACCACAAAGTGTCAAGCTCTAAACAAAAGTGTAACGAACACTAAGCTAGGAGGGTAAGGTTCTTGTCAAATTCTCTACACCTAACCTGTCCACATTGCACCACTTGGAAACAACATTTCACCTAACAAGATAAGACCTTCCACCTTCCTCAACAACAAAAGTTGCTCATGATTCAAGAAAGTCCAACTCTTAACATGTTATTGACCCGCCTCTCTAACGGCCCAAACCCACCACTAGGCTAGATATTATCCTCTTTAGGCTTTCCCTTCCGATTATCTCCTCAAGGTTTTTAAAACGCATTTGCTAAGAAGAGATTTCCACACCCTTATAAAGAATACTTCGTTCTACTCCCAACCGATGTGGGATCTCACAACCTCATTCCCCTGCAACTAACGCACCCACTTTTGCGCTAATGTTCTTATTCTAAGCCCTATTATTAATAAACAATGTCTTAATCAGCAATGTAAAGGATCTGAACTGGGAGGTGGCTAAATGCTTGACCGATTTACACAACAACCGGAGAATTAAATGAATCTTCCCCATCAAGATATTCACAACCAGCTGCTAAAAGTAATTATCTCAATACGAATACAGAACCAACAGATCTATGAACAATGAAACAAAAATAAAAAAATTACGACAAATCAGATAAACCCAGCTAGAAAAGGGGGNGGGGGGGGGGGGGGGGAAATCCTATACGACACAATTATTACCAGAAATTTCACATGTTCAAAGCAATTATCGGGGGAAAAATCTGGGAAAAGGCTATTGCAAAATCAACAATCTAAGAACAAAGAAAACGAGATGATATCGGAAACAACGCAAAAGCATGGGAGAAGAAGAATCTTACAAGACTAAGGACGCAAAAGAGGTAGCCGAATGAACTGTTTGAGTAGCCAACCAGAAATCGAAGAACAAGAGAGGTGAAGTAGATCTGAATCAAAACCCAAGAGCTAAAACCTAGATTGAATCGAATCGAATCGAACAAATGGGCACCTGATCGAATCGACTGCGGTAAGTGGATTTGAAAGCAGAAGCCCGATCTGTGGATTGAAAGAAGACGATCCCGGAATTCGCTCGAAGCTGGAAAGAATAGAAGAGGAAAGAGCGGGATTCGTCTCTGTTCCTCGCTGTTGAGAATCTGAGAGAGAGAGAGAGAGAGGAGAAATGGGAAAAAATTAGGAGAAGACAGCTCAAGTAGCACAGCTACACGCAGGGAATCATAAAAGCCAAAACCCAAATGGGTTCTCAAAAATCAAAATCATACTTGTTTTATTGTATTAAAATTTCAACTTCCACACAGTAATCAACCTTGCATCTCACGTCCATCCATGGTCAACTCACCTCATCATTCTAATTTTTCTTCCCACCTTCAAAGCTCATCCAACATATACATATACATATACATGTATATCTTCTCCTACTGAATTCTTACTAAATTTATTTGAAGTTGTTGAAGTAATAAATGGCAATGAATGCATCATTGAATCCAAAGATAAAAGATTTGGTATAAAAAGTAAAATTGAAAGAGTTGTGCTCAGGAATTTGGTGAGTGAAAAGAAAAGATTTAAAGAACAAAGAAAAAGTAAGGTATAAAGTATAAAAATCATCACTTTAGAGTAAAAAAGTGATCCTAAAAGGACAAAGAATCACAGTTTGGCACAACAATATCATGATTCAACATATTTTGTATCATTATCATTATTCAGTTTCTGCAAAATGCAACCAAAAATTATATTCATATTCAATTTTAGTGGATGTATTCGAGCGATTCTCAACCAATCTAACGAGCTACGTCAATTCCTAAGATAAAAGAGTTTTACTTACTCGTGTTTCACAAATCAAATGTAAATCTCGATGAAAATCTCATAAGAAAGAAATGCAAGATTTAGAATAAGAGAAGAAAAATTGATGTTAGTGAGTTAATGTAACAACTCAAGCCTACCACTAGCAAATACAAGCTGTTTTAGCCTGTTACGTATTATTGTTAGCTTCACAGGTTTAAAACATGTCTATTAAGGAGAGATTTCAACGCACTTATAAGGAATGCTTCGTTCCCATCTCCAACCAATGTGAGATCTCACAATCCACCCATCCAACTGGAGAGTGGAACGAAACATTTCTTATAAGGGTGTGGAAACCTCTCCCTAATAGACGCGTTTTAAAACTGTAGGACCGACAAATACGAAACAAGTCACAACGGATAATATCTGCTAACGGTGGATCAGGGATATTATAGTTAATCATCCCCGTTACAATATCCACAATTATGAGCTCGAAAGTACTTTTCCTTAGCGTCGATAGTCTCCTCCTTCTCGCCCAAGTGGGTCTTGTTTGATAACGACTCGATTTCTTCGCTCTTTTTTCATCGGTTATTCAACTCTATCCAGAATTTTTTTTCAAAATATTTGATAATTCATACAAATTCAACAAATATATGTGTGAAAGTCATCAATTAAACGTCAAAACTATCATAAATAGGCTCTAAAAGTAGCCCACAAATGTGCCAATAGATATCAGAATTTGGACTAAGTTCTATTGTGAAGGGGATGAATGTTAGGCTTGAAGAGCCCAAACAAGAAGCCCTTTTAGCCTTTCTATTCTATTAAAAACCCAATTCTACTGTCAAATTCACGAAACAATATGAGACACGAGCTAGATCTTCTCTAAAATTAACGTTTTTTTTTACAAGTCAAGCTATTTGGAATTTTGCAGGTATCCTCGTTTTCTGCTTAAAGATCGACAACGAACAGGTGTCAAGATGATCAAATTTCAATAGATAAATTAGGGAAGATAACACTCTCGTTAGTTACAGACGAGCACTCTAATCTTGACCATAAAATCAAAGAAAAGATTTAAAAAACGAAGGGTTTAGAACTAGTACACCTACTTTTGGAAGTTTGGGGGCAAAACTCATGCTCTTTTCCCACACCTAAAACCAACCAAATCATTATTTTGAATCAATTTTTTCTAAAAGAACAATGTAACGACCATACTTTTCATACACGTACCTGTCAAAACCGTTACTTAAAAACAACGATTTTATAGTTTAAAAACATAAACGATGCTTTGGAAACAAGTAAAACATGTTCGGGATGCATAATACTCAATACCCATGATTCGAATCAGAATTTAGAATTTGGATTCGACACCTGATGATCCCAACATTTTTGTATGACATGATCCCATTACATGCTTGACTTGAAGTGCTTCTAAAAATGAGGACGGTCCCCCACAAATCAACATGAGTGTCAATTTAACATGTTTTGTCTTCGTTCATATAAAAGTCAAACGTGCTTAACTTTAGATTTTATATGATAAAAGAAAAGAAAAGCTCTTTAAGAACGGTTCAAATTATTTATTTTTTAAAAAATAAAAAAGAAATATAAATAAAATATCTTGACAATACAAAAATTGTATTGCTCACCAGGCTAGCAAGAGAACAACATATCGTAATTTTTATATGCCCACCTTTGATGCAAAATGTCTAAAATACCCCTAGTGACTTTTTTTTTTCTCATTTTCTACTCAAAAGAATTGATCAAAGAAATTGACAAGAAAAAGACGTTTCACAATTTTTTAATATGCATTATTGAATTGGTAATTTACATTTCTCGTAACGAAATTATCAATTTTTTAAATCAGTTGAGTTATGTTCATATTGGTATCTTAATACGTCGTCATTTAACCGATTTAAATATATTATCAATAATAACTTAAGCTACGTTCAACCGAAACCGAGCTGATCCAGCTATGAGAGTACCTGCCCCACAAACTTCCAGCAAACATGTGTTCTTATCAAAATGACTTAACTCCAAGTTAATGCATTTCATATATTTTAAATTTTGTTTGACTTTTCCTTATTTTGCTTCTCAAATCATCCATCCCTTTATTTATATATCAACTTTTGTTCATTTTTTCTTCCATTCACATGTTAGGTTCAATCATTTGATATCATTTCAATATTGTTTGGTATTAGGTTTAAAAAAAATTAAAACTTTTTCGTTTTATTTCTCATATTTTATGAGATAAAGGGTCGGGAAATGATGTTTTTATTAACGAAATACTTGTCAAACGACAAAGAATCAAGATAAGGATGAAACTTCGAAGAATAGTTCGTCGCTGCTTCGAGAATGGTTAGCTAACTTCAACGATATATGTATGAGCCGGGGTAGAAAAGGCTTCTCCATCTACGTTTGTAACGACCCAGATCCACTGCTAGTAGATATTGTCCTCTTTGGGCTCCCCCTCAAGGCTTTAAAATGCGTCTGCTAGGAGAAGGTTTCCACGCCCTTATAAATGGTGGTTTGTTCTCCTCCCCAACCAATGTGGAACATCACAATCCACCCTCCTTCGGGTCCCAGCGTTCTCATTGGCACTCTTTCCTTCCTCCAATCGATGTGGGACCGCCCCAAATCCACCCCATTTGGGGCCAACATCCTTACTGGCACACTGCCTCATGTTTACCCCTTCGGGGAACAGCGAGAAGGCTGACACATCGTCTTATGTCTGGCTCTCATATCATTTGTAACGACCCAGATCCACCGCTAGTAGATATTGTCCTCTTTGGGCTTTTCCTTTCGGCTTCCCCTCAAGATTTTAAAACGCGTCTAACTAATGTGGGACATCACAATGTTCCTACTTTCTATTTCAATCCCGATCCTAGCAAAGACTCATGTCTTATATTTTTTAAATTATTTATAGATATGACTTGAAAGCCACTCCAACTCCATGCACAATGATAGTATTGGACATATGAATCATGGGTTGTCCCCAACAACGCAACCTTGTACGACAATTCAATGTCTTCCCACAAAACCAGACAACTTGAGTGGTTAGATGAACGGTCAAACATCAAAATTTAATAGTAAATGATTTGGAAATGGATGAAAGAGAGAAGAAATAGACACCATAATGAAATAAATAACCCAAATTGAACACAAAATCCCAAACCTTAACACAAATGCGCACTTAATCTATTCACAAATGAGATAATTTAAACAAATAACAAAAGGCTTCACTATTTAAAATCACAAACAATCAATAATCTTCTGCAATTTCCAAGCCCTGCCATTGATGCGTATTGAGCCCTTGAAGCCACTTAATAAGATGATATGGAAGATGGCAACAAGAGAAGAACATGCAATCTGGTCCAATCTATGAGTGTTTGAATGGTGATGTGTTCTTGCGAATGGATCCTTATTATTCAATGGGCTGAATTCTCCACCTTTAACTATTTCATTAATGAAGCCTTTATTTATTCCGCTATTGAAAAGAAAGCCTGTGGAAATGTTAATAGATGATTAGAATTGTGGTAGAAATTTGATGGGGAAATGAAAGTTGATGAGTTGGGAGGGTTGATTTACTTACAAGATTGGGGTTGAACTTTTGTAGAGCTTAATATGGTGGAGGTGGCGGCGGCGATGCGTAAATGTAGACGGGGGTTGGTGGTTTCACGGGTGGTGGGGGAGATTTGTAATAGTATGGGGGAGGAGGAGAAGGTGAAGGAGGGGGAGGAGATTTGTAATAGTATGGTGGAGGAGGTGATGGAGATGGTGGTGGTGGAGACTTGTAGTAGTATGGTGGAGGAGGAGAGTAGACCGGTGGTGGGGGTGACTTGTAGTAGTATGGCGGGGGAGGAGAGTAGACTGGAGGAGGTGGTGACTTGTAGTAGTATGGCGGGGGAGGAGAGTAGACGGGAGGAGGTGGTGACTTGTAGTAGTATGGCGGAGGAGGAGAGTAGACTGGAGGAGGTGGTGACTTGTAATAGTACACTGGAGGAGGAGAGTAGACTGGTGGTGGGGGTGACTTGTAGTAGTACGGTGGAGGAGGAGAGTAGACTGGAGGAGGTGGTGACTTGTAGTAATACGGTGGAGGAGAGTACACTGGAGGAGGAGGCGACTTGTAGTAGTACGGTGGGGGAGGAGAGTACACCGGAGGTGGTGGGGACTTGTAGTAGTATGGTGGAGGAGGAGAGTAGACTGGAGGAGGAGGTGACTTGTAGTAGTATGGTGGGGGAGGAGAGTAGACTGGAGGTGGTGGTGACTTGTAGTAGTACGGTGGGGGAGGAGAGTACACTGGAGGAGGTGGTGACTTGTAGTAGTACACTGGAGGTGGAGAGTACACTGGAGGAGGAGGTGACTTGTAGTAGTACGGTGGAGGAGGAGAGTACACTGGAGGTGGTGGTGACTTGTAATAGTACACTGGAGGAGGAGAGTAGACGGGAGGAGGAGGCGATTTGTAATAGTACACAGGGGGAGGAGAGTAGACCGGAGGTGGTGGTGACTTGTAGACGTAGGGAGGTGGATAGTAAGGCTTAGGCTTTATGCACTCATGGTAGGGCTTCTTTGGAGCATAAGCAAAAGGCTTGGCATACAGCACGACCTCGTATTTAGTCTTGGACTTAACCTTCAAAATGGCACCGACCTTGCCCCAGTGAAGGTTGGTCGGGATGTTGCACAGCGAGCCCTTCGGGGGTGCATGGAGCTTAGCCTTGCAAGCCTTGCCTCCATATTTAGCGTAGTCAAATCCCTTAACTTCAATGCTATATTTGCCATTGCTCTTAGTCTTTCCATATGCTACTACCTCTTCCTTTCCTGCCTTGCAACTCACTTCCACAACAGCTCCTACAATAAATAAATAAATAAATAAATAATTAGAAAACGACATCGTTCTAGCTTTATTTTACTGTACAAACCGCTACCACTATTTCCCTACTTTAATAAATAATGTTTATTAAATATTTACTATTTTGGGCATTGATGTGAAATAATTGAGGCAATGATAACATCCACATGGATGGTGATACCCTTTTATTCTCCCATAGTGGGAGGGCAAATTCGTAAATATGAATTTTAAAAAATTTTAAAATAAAAATTGCATTAATCAATTAAAGTATGTCTTTTTGTTTGTGGGGTTTGATAGAAAGATCTTCAATTTTTGACTTGGTCTTGAAGGTAACCAAATTTAGAAGCAAGCTATTCAAGAAATTGATATTAAAAATAAAAAAGTATTAGAAATAAAAAATTGGTTTTAAAGAAAAAAAAAGGAATTTGAATTGGATGAATTGATTAATGAAAATTAATTTAGAAATTACCTTTAAGGTGCTTCTTGTCGTGTGATTTTTCGGGGTAGGCCCAGTCATAGCATCGGATGCAATAGACTTTTCCGACCACCTTGAAAACTAAGTGGTGGTGTGGCGGGTAGTATGGTGGAGTGTAGGGCTTTGGTGTTGGAGGGTAGTAAACTGGTGGTGGCGAGTATTTTGGTGGTGAGTAGTAGGGTGGAGTATAAGCCTTTGGTGGTGGCGAGTAGTAAACCGGTGGTGGTGAGTATTTTGGTGGGGAGTAGTAAGGTGGAGTATAAGCCTTTGGTGGTGGAGAGTAGTAAACCGGTGGTGGTGAATATTTTGGTGGAGAGTAGTAGGGTGGAGTATACGACTTCGGTGGTGGAGAGTAGTAGACTGGTGGCGAGTATTTTGGTGGAGAGTAGTAGGGTGGAGTGTACGACTTAGGTGGTGGAGAGTAGTAGACCGGTGGCGAGTATTTTGGTGGAGAGTAGTAGGGTGGAGTGTACGACTTTGGTGGTGGAGAGTAGTAGACCGGTGGCGAGTATTTTGGTGGAGAGTAGTAGGGTGGAGTGTACGACTTTGGTGGTGGAGAGTAGTAGACCGGTGGCGAGTATTTTGGTGGAGAGTAGTAGGGTGGAGTGTACGACTTTGGTGGTGGAGAGTAGTAGACCGGTGGCGAGTATTTTGGTGGAGAGTAGTAGGGTGGAGTGTACGACTTTGGTGGTGGAGAGTAGTAGACCGGTGGCGAGTATTTTGGTGGAGAGTAGTAGGGTGGAGTGTACGACTTTGGTGGTGGAGAGTAGTAGACCGGTGGCGGCGAGTATTTTGGTGGAGAGTAGTAGGGTGGAGTGTACGACTTCGGCGGTGGAGAGTAGTACACCGGTGGTGGCGAGTATTTTGGTGGTGAGTAGTAGGGTGGAGTGTACGACTTCGGCGGTGGAGAGTAGTACACCGGTGGTGGTGAGTATTTTGGTGGTGAGTAGTAGGGTGGAGTGTACACCTTTGGTGGAGGAGAATAGTAAACCGGTGGCGGCGTGTAGGGCTTCGGTGGAGAGTAGTACACTGGTGGTGGCGAGTAAGTTGGTGGTGGTGGAGATTTGTAGTAGTAGGGTGGAGGAGGAGAATACACCGGAGGTGGTGGAGATTTGTAGTAGTATGGCGGAGGAGGAGATGGCGATGGTGGTGGTGGGGACTTGTAGTAATACGGTGGTGGAGGCGAGGGCGATGGTGGTGGAGGAGACTTATAATAGTACGGTGGAGGAGGAGAGTAGACAGGAGGCGGTGGAGATTTGTAGTAGTACGGTGGAGGAGGAGACGGAGACGGTGGTGGTGGAGATTTGTACTCATAAACCGGAGGAGGAGAGTAAGTCGGTGGCGGCGGCGACTTATACTCGTAAGACGGCGGTGGAGGAGAAGCATACACGTAGGCATCACCGGCAACCAATCCTACATTAGCAGAAAGAAGAAGCACGGCCAATGCCATAACAAATTGAGGGCAAAGACGACCCCAAGAGGGGTCGCCACGGTGGGTCTTCATGGGTGGGTGGAGAGAAAACACACCTCTCTTTCTCAAGCCAATTTTCCCGGATTTTCTCAGATATTTTCTCGGGAAAGTGAAGAAGAGAGAGAAAGAGAGAAGGAGAGAGAAACCGTTTTGGTTTCCGTTAGTGATTGTGTTAGAATTGCATGAAAGTAAAGTATATTTATAATCACATAAAGGCCCCAATTCCAAGTACTTTCTCTTTTGATTAATTCATTAGTTTCTCTTTAATTTTTATTTTTGCAAGCTGGCGTTCTTAATTTTATAATTTAAATCCATAACTAATTCCCTTTTTATTTACCTAATTTAACTTTAATTAAACATTTTAATTTCAATTATACTATCTTAATCCTTTCTTCCCTTATTCACTTGCTTAGTCGCCCACAAGATGAACGGTCGGGATTCCACGGTGGGACAATACATGGCACAATTCAAACCATTGGATCAAATCTCTTTATATATATGTGTAGCAAATGCATTATTTTTTCAAAAAATAAATTATTCAATGGATTTTTTAAAAATAATTTAACAAAAAAAGGAAAAAATTTTGGAGTTTTGCTGGGTGGCATTATTTGGGCTGTTTATGCCCTCCATTCCTTTGTGTCTGGATTTCTAAATTTTAAATTTTTTTAATACTATATATATATATATATATATATATATATATATATATATATATATATATATATATATATATATATATATATAAATTCTTTAAAATAAAAATAATAATTTTATATAAAATTTTAAATATATTAATGGGAGACCAAAAATAATGGAGAATGACAGAACAACTAATGAAATAGGACTAAGTTAAGATTCACGTTCAAATTTCATTAGCTTTCTCTCTTTTTAATCCTAGGTATTAGTATGACACTCATTCGGTGTGTATTGCCTCAATGTTGGCTTCGAAACTGTCGACATGAAAACGTTGAGTTAAAGCATAGAGATAGTTGGATGATGAGACATTGTCAGTGAGAAATGAAAACCGAAATTGGTAAAAGATAGAGTCGACATTGAAGATGGCAGCTATTCTGAGCGTGAAACCCTACGTTTCGGTAATTTGAGCTATGACTAATTTCTAGGTATTTAGATTTTGACGATATATTATAAAGATAGAAAGACGAGAATGGCAACAGAAATAATAGATGTTTTCAACTCGATAATTATTATTTGGTCATTTTTAATTATTTTCGTTTCATGATTTGGAATAATTTTCACTGCCACTTTTACTCCACTGTCTTAATTCTATAATTCAAATAATATTATGGACCACTTTTTTTAAGATAAATATTTACTTTTCAAATTATTACCATTTTGAATTTTTACAAATTATGACTATTTATTTTTTAAAATTTATAAATATTAATCATATGTTTTAATTAATTTAAATTGGGATTATACATAGAAATAACATTTTTTACTAAATATGAAAATAAAATTAAAAAAGAATATAATCCACAAATAATAGAGATAAATCAAATGACTTACCAAATTGAAGCACATGGCTTGGTGGGGTTAACATTAAAAAAAGAAAAAGAAAATAATAATAATAATAGTAAATTCCATTTTTCCCCTTCTAACCACCACTAATCTTCTTTTACTTTTCTTATTTTCTTTGTAAAAAAGAAAATAATAATAATTAAAAAGAAAAGTACAACCCCATAATTTTAGTGAACCCACTAGCTATTTTTATAATCACTCCAATAATTTCCAATGAAAAAAAACTTATTTTAAAATTCCATCAAAATTATAAAAAATTAAAAAAAAAGGGCAATAGTGTAATTTCACTTTGGTTTATCAATTGTAAATTTGTGGCTGTCAAAGAGCGCCGGCTGGAGAAGGCGGCTTTCGTATGTGGTGGCTTGGGCTAGTTGGCTGTCTATGCCTAATTTAGATTAATTTAAATTTTAAAAACTTTTAAAATTAAAAAATTATCCCTACACATGTATTAATTTACATTTTTGTCTCTAATCATTTTCATTTATATTAAATTAAGACGTAATAATACTATATTTTATATCGTTCGAGTTATGCTATCAACTTTATCACTACAATAATAGAACGATTATCTAAAAGTCGAGAACTAAAAATAGAATTATAATAAATAAATAAATAAAAAGATAATTATGTACTGTAAAATTAAGACAAGTTGGTCGTTTTTTATATGATCTTTGTCTTCACCTAACACAAAACATTTATTGCTTCCCTTTCTTTTCTTTCTATTCTTTTGAAAAAATAAATGATTATCCCTTTTTTGTTTAAGGGTTTGGTATGTTTAATTATTGCTTCGTCACCCATTCGTCTTTTTATTTTTTAATTCAATTATAAAGTATCGAAAGTGATCGGGATTTTTAACTATACACACCCACGACAAACATGCTATTCTTAGACCTAAGCTCGTGTTTGAAAATTGATTCTGAAATAATTTTATCGTCCTTTTTAGAATATATATTTCGTAACCATGCGTAAAAGATTTATTTTACGCAATGAAGTTATTATGAAGGGTAATTTAGTTACTTTACTCAGTTACTCGAACAAATGACAGAGTTGCACTTGACAACCTCGACATCACCTGTGACTTAGTCATATTACTTAGTCTTCACTTCTTAAGAGTAAAAACTATCCCCACAGACCAACACGAGTCCTTCCAGCATGTGAGTTTCTATGATTGAGCGATTGAAAAGAAAAGTGCACTTTATTGGTATAAATTAGTAATCTTATCCTCAGGATCGCTCTCATTTAAATATAGTCTCGGTTCGTAATCGAAAACTCAGATATAAGATAATTCAAACCTCAAAGTCGTAAAAAAAAAAAAAAAAAGTCAACTATCATTTTTGTCAACTATCGCTTTTGTTTTACTCAACTCGAGAGAGAAACAAAGAGGCTTGGTCTAATTTAATTAAGGAATGATGTCGCCTCTCTTACAATTTGCACTAAATTAAAAAAATTTAATCACGGGTTTTGTCAATGAGCAACGGTAAGATATTTGAAATTTATATGAGCCATTGGTGTGACCATTTCAATGACTCGTAATTTTTATGCTTCGTTTATTCGAATCGTTCGTCTTGTCAACGCATTTGAAGTATAATATAAGAGCAATTATACGAATATTTAACCTTTTACTTAGGTCAATTATTAAAATAATGTATAATAAACTTAGATATAAAATCAGAAGATTTAAATTATTTCATGAACCGTCAATATAAAAATTTGTACGTTCACGAAATGTTCTTGTAGACATTTAGCAGAAGACGTGTTTATGTCGGTTATTTTTTAATAAATTAATTTATTGAAAATGTTCATGAAAAAGACTAAAATTGTTGTTTAGGCTATAAACAAGACTAAATCAAATGGTTTAAAAAATTTAAGCATGCAAGTAAATAATATTAATAAAAATAAATTTAATGACTTTTTCATAATTTAAATATTAAAATTTATGGTTTTTATTAGAAATTAGTTTAAAATTTCAATTATTTATTAAAATATATTAAAAATAGACACAGATACTCTTCAACGCTGCATGGACGAGACCACGTGACATATTATAATCACGTTCAAAAGTGCTGCCTTTTGGCTCGGCAATATAGAGCTTCTAAACTGCTCCCGTTACTTTATGAGGTTCTATCGAGATAAGCAGGTCGATTAAGAAATAAATTTTAAAACATCAAGAACATATTTGTCTCTCATCTGGTATATCGTCGTCACTATCGAAGAAAAAATATAAACAGGTGAATATTAAAAATACTTAAAAATCTCACTAATAAATTAGAAAAACGTGCATGTATGACATAACTCGTTAACTCGAGTAGGGTTTACAGAACGTTTTTCATAAATATATCAATATGAATAAGAGTTGATGAGAGAGATAACTGCGGTTGTCTTTTTCGATTAAAAAATAATTATTATCATACACATAACGAAGTGATAGAGAACGACTACCTAAATGGATTGAGAAAATTAACTTGATCGAGAATTTTATGATTTAAACCCATTTTCTTGATTTAGAGGTCACGAACTCAAATCTTTATCCTAAGAAAAAAGAAAATATTTAAACGTTAAAATACAATTAAAATGACGAAGTTGGAATAAATATTGGTTATTTATGAAAGGGTATGAATCAATTCATAAGTCCAATATTAATATTGTAATTTTTCTGTCAAAATAATTTTTTTGAGTCTCCATTGTTCAAATCATTTATTTAAATTTTTATTTTTAATAAAAATAAAATATTAGTTCGTAAAGTTTTTCATTTATCTGAACCGAACCCAATTCAGATAAGTTCATAATCCTACCAAAACCGACTATAACAACTGAAACACATCGCTAGCAGATATTGTCCATTTTGGCTCGTTATGAATCGCAGTCAGCCTCACGGTTCTAAAATGCATCTCCTAAGAAATGTTTTGTTCCTCTCTCCAACCGAGGCGTGATCTCACACACAAATTAATTAAATTGATCAATTTTTTCGAGTCACTTCAAATCTTTTTATTTAAATGTTCTCGTATAGCGCCCATATTTTTGTCGGTAGGACACGAATACTCCCTTTCGTAGGACGCTCCTAAAAGAGTATAGTCCCAAAAATACAATTAAAAAAAGAACAACGTAATTGGAATCTCTTGCGTCATTTGCCAAAAAGTTGACTCCAACAACTCTTTTGAAAAGTAATAAATTTTTTGTATAATGTGTTTAATTAGAACATAGGATAGAGATGGAAGGAAAAAAATCCTTAAATTAGTATTCATTTTGGTCCCCATCATCAACACATTCTTCTACTTGCTTCTTATTCAAATCATCTTCATACTAACATAAAGGTATAAACAACATATGATGTTCATCCATATTTTTAAATTATCTTCTTAAATTTTATATTTATTTTGTTTCCATTTATAATTTTAAAATATTTTATTTTAGTTTCTAAACACGTGTTCATGATTATCCAATCAATTCAGACTATTCAACTCAAATCATAAAAGTTGGATTGGGTTAATTTTTTTTCGTTTTTTCAATTTGGACGGGGTTGAATTCACTTGGAATGGCTAGAAATCTCTCTTACCTAAATCGAGAATGACAGATGAAGTGGGGAGAGATTTTTCATCATTACCTAAATGTGCCCGGAAACAATGATTATA